GTCATCTTATAGTCAGTTTATTTGATAAATTTTAAACAGCCACGGAATAGCTAGTGTAAGAATAACTTGGACTGCAAATATGCGATCCGACTCACGGAAATGTTCCACCTAAACGGGAAATAGGTTATCGATCTACTTGGCCTTATAGAATTAATTACCTTGCCATTTGAATTTTCGTCCAGTAGTTGCAATATTCCATCGGCTTCTAAAATTGCTAAGGATGTTGTTATAATTACAGTAATATGTATAAATACAGTATTCGTACACAACTTACTGCTTCAAATATTGTTGCATTATTTTTGTGCTTGTTGCTAAAATATTTAGGTGAAATCGGGTTTCCTGAAAATGTAAAGGAAGTTAGAAAAATTATGAAAATTATGTACCGCAGGAGTTCGAATTCGATTAAGAGCGTCAATATTTGCAGCAGCTGGTACGGAATTTGTTAGAGAGCTGTACCGATGGAACCGATAATACTATATAGTGCTGGTAGCACATATAGTACAGATACCGATAGATACAGATAGTACTGTATTCGATGGGGAGGAAGATTTCATGGTGTCATTGAGTTGCTTGAAGATTTAGGAAATGCAATATGCTTAAAATAAAATACTAAAATGGTCTAACATTATTGACAGACCGTTTCAATCCAGTTACCGGGAGGTATGAAAATTTCAGCATAATCATCAGTCGCCTTGGTTGAGAGAAAAGTATCACCTCTGGCATGACTGCTGCGCAAATCGATGTCATACAATGCATAGATGTTATTTGTGACGTTCCTTCTGTCAATATGTTCATTATGCCTAGGTCAGTAGTTATCTGTATTTTTTCATAAACATACTCGATCAAGAAATTTATCACTTTCCCGTTAAATTAACGCTTCAATAGTGAAACTTTTGAACCAAATAAAAAGATGCGTGATTATTTCACAAATTAGGTGTGCCCCATGAGAAACGGTGAATTTGCATTAAAAACTGTAACCAATGGTTGTAAAATTGTTATTGTGGAGATATTGCGTAAAAGTACGGCATCCATATCTCCACAATACCCACATTTAAAAGTGCGTAGGCATGTATCGATTTTGGCAGGAGGACTGTTCCATATACAACAGCCCGCTGCTTACGATTAGATCACACGAGTAGATCTATTGCGTATCCTCTCAACAACAACCGCATGGCAGTGGCTATTAGCAGCACAGCCTATGATAATGAAATGTCGTTGTGTTCTAGTTAATACTTACAATTGGTGAGTCACAACAGTACATACGGGAAGATTAATGGTAGGCGAAGTTCTATTTCCTGTCTATAGATTACAATATTTATCTGAAATATCAAACCATATGCATGCACGTAGACATGAAAGAAAGATATTAAATAAATACAAGTGCTATGTACACATTTATGTTGGACAAAGCACAAGTAAAGTAGTCAAATCAAGTCATTAGTAAGCTTATGCGACGTGAAAATCCTGAGGGCGGGTCTATTTCTTTAGGGTATTGTTATTTCACAAAGTTGTCAACTATGTAGTTCTGTTTCACAAGTATTTGATAAACTTTTAACTACGATTGGAACTATGTTTTGGCCTATTTACTAGTCCAGTACTTTTTGTTACAATTTAAACCTTGCAATATATGTTGCCCAATTATATTCTGATGAGCTTGCCCTTGAAAATGTTAGCCATAACTTATGTACATATCAGTATTGTCGACCTGAAAATGAAACTTTTACCACGATTTAGTATTTCCATAGAACACGGATTTTACGTGTTACTGAATATCCCGGGTGAAACCTATTTTGAAATTTCGAAATTTTTTGAGAAATTAAATGCTGCACTTGGTTCCAAATTGGGTTCTTTCTGTTTGGTGACTATATTTTATTTGAACAAATAAGAAACTTTGTCCAAGTTCATATGTAGCTCGACACAATCAAGAACAATTGTAATCGATAATTAACTCTCATATACAATTCTGAGCAGATTCAAATAAAATCAAGTCGTCTCCTGACAGCCACTTCTAAATATGCAAACACTGTGAACTTGTCCACACTATAACTCGATATGAACTTTTACTTTTTCTTCCATTATCTCGGTCTCTATTACTTTACAGCGGATGCCATTTTAAGTGAATTAGTAGTACCGCTCCTAAGTCAATCTGTCAGAGACAGCTTTCAATTCTACACTACGGAAATTCAATACTACCTGGACGTGTTTGCAGATTGTACGAAAATAGTAATTATTGATCACAATAAAAATATAAACCTTGGTCAGAGTCCAATAATTCTAAGCAACAAAACCACACAAGAAGCAAAGCTAATTGATTACAGACTTTCCTTTCGAAGGATAAGAAACCCATCACGACATTGCTGGGCCATATTTGATCTTCTATCAAATCATGGTAAAATAACGGGCTATGACTTTCAGCAGCGGCGTCCACTTGCAAATGGTTTGGGTCAACAATTTTTGATTTACAGAATAAGTTTGAAAAATATGCTTGACGCGGTATTCAAAACTCTTGCCAGACGATTAAGATATCTCCGACATTTGGAGATAATTCTAATTGGAACAGAAGAGGTAATATCAGGACTGCAAGCGTATACAAGGGAAACACGTGTATTAAATATGCAATACCATAACGTGTATCATCGTGCTGAACTACTTGTGGATGGGAATCCTTCGAAAACGTGGTATGCGATAAGTTGTTTCCTCGACACCGTAAGTGAGTGCTTCAATAAGTTTGCAGTGATTGGACAGGCTGTAACGAACCTTAACAAATACTTTGTAGGAAGTGAATCCGCTTTTAGAGGAAAAAGTCCTGAAACTAGGTTAAAAAAGTGGTACGACGACGGATCAAAGAAACAAAAACTTTACGAAGTTGCTGATCTTGTCCCATTTACTCAATTTGTTTCTTTTTGGACATTCCAAGATGCACATTCGCAAGACATCATTTCCAATATTACGCCTTATCATAGTTATCTCATATGTATACAGCTGCCTGATGCATATATTACCAAACTCCCCTTAGTTCTAGCAAAAGTACAAACATTCAGTTTCATATCTTGTTACAAAGTGAAATCTGACACGGTCGTTTTAAGCGGGTTGGTTACCCCGTTCGACATTGAATCTTGGCTACTTCTATTTTCTGTCTTCTTAATGTTTGTTATTATTTTCAAGTTACAACCAAGGAAATTTAGTTACGAGGGAGCCGTAGTCGGAATCGGCATGCTACTAGAAAGTTCAATTCTGTGGGATTTGAAATTATTTCCGACAGGATTTCCAGCAAAATTACCACAATTTGGGATACGTCTTACCATCGGGGTATGGGCTATGATGTCTGGAACAGTGTTAACAAATTGGTACAAAGCAGCATTCACAATGGAAATGATTGTTCCCGTGATTTATTTACCACCATGGCAGACTTGGTTAGATATTGATGGAATGCAGGCACTGTTACCTATCCATTTGTTTGATGATTCAGCCAATAGTGACGAATCGCGATCAAACTTAGAGTTCTTTTTGCGAATATATAATAGAATCATATCTTTCTCCAGCGCCACGCGGTAAGTTTTCGAATATCACGTGTTAAACATACATACATTGTTTGCCCGGAGTGATAAACCAATATGAATATGTCAATGCAAAAGTTCTAAACTTTAATTATTTACAGGTACAAGAATTTCTTAAACCGTATGGATACAACAATGACTAAATTCCACACGATTGTAACCCCAGAGGATGACGTTGGAAATCAATTTGAAAGGATATTCGATAATAAAATTGTCCAAGAGTCTCCAATAACACCGATAAGGTACAATGATACGGATCGATTATTGACCAGCCTATCGAGCTGTGAAAAAATAGCGTATCTGGATACAACAGAAACCATAGCTGCACTAAACCCATTTGTCAACGATAATCAGGCAGCAATAAAATATTTGAGTGGTATTGAGCCATTTTTTGCGGTCTATCATGGCTGGGTAGATTATACAATTCGTGGTAATTATGTTCAGAATCGACTCAAGATTATGATATCCTCCGGAATATATTCTCACTGGGAGAGCTGGTTTCGTTTAGCTAAACCTCCCAAGCTATTTCATCACTATGGAAATTGGACTTATCCGAGGTTCAGTGCTGTATCACAACTGAATTATACTTCAAAGATTGTCGCGGGGTTCTGTATATGTGGAATTTGCCTGGTGGGTTGCATACTGTGTTTAGTTTATGAAATATCGAAGGTTTGGGTAATCAAGAAATTAAATGTAGTACGCAAAATTACTTAAGTTAAAAATCGTTGCTTCAAAATTATATTTATAGCCTACATGTGCATTAAATACATTATTTAATATGAGCACCATTTTAAAAAAAAATTTAAAGGTTAATGGTTTTATCTGAATGTTTTAACCAGAATGTTTAATGTTCTTGTAGCATTGATTTTGTGCATTTTGCAATAAATTTTAATCTTTGTATTTGATGACATTTAGAGATATTATATTTAATTGGACTCTGTACGACCGAACCGCAGAGACGAGCAGTTATTTTGAGTGTACTCATTTTAGCGTATTAAATCAAGACCAACGTCGCTGTTTTATCAATGAGGGTGTCAAACCACTCAATCGGGTGAAATGACCGAATCCTTCCGTCAAGATTTTAATGGGGGGACACCTCTTCACAAATCGTTTCATCCGCAACACCTGTTTTTTGCTTAATCCTCCAACATATTATGGTTCCCAGACCGTTTAGAAGCCATCTTGGATAAATACTTCGAACGAAGATGCAAACAGACTCTGAGATTGGACAATGTTTACTGCTGCGGTGAGTGCGAGATACGCACACCCCAACTAAGGAGGCGAACGACAGTTTTGAGTACAGTCAAATGGAACCGTAATTAACGGAGACTTGATTCGGAAATGACAACGCTAATAAGCACGTCACATGAATGGAATAGAAGTGGTTATATTAGATTGACAAATGCTGTAGCTGCCGCAAGACATGGGCAATTTCTCAGGCAATTTGGTTTATTTATTTATTTTGGTTGATTTTATTATTTTAAAAAACCATTCAAAATGAACTCAAACAACAGCTAATGTCTCAACACAAATTTTAACTGATGCATGAAACAATTCAGCAATTGAAGAATGAATGAAACACACTGCCGATTAAGACTATTCTGCATGTAAAAGTTTTTCTAACTCGACCCGGAGTTCCGTGAAATTCGGTCGGTTGGATTTGTTTCCTTCCCAGCAAGCCTTCATTAAGCCATATCTAGAATTTGTTGTATTATAATTATTTTACCATCATAAATATTTATACTACACATTTTACAACGAACATTGTGCTATTGGCATCTTTTGGTTTTTCCAGGCGCCCGTTTGACTGGAGCATGTCGATGAATTCCTTTCCCCATGAACAGTTTGGGTAGGGGGTTTCCGCAAAGGTGAAGATCTCCCAGAGCGTGACCCCGTAGCTCCAGACGTCCGATTCTGTGGAAAATTCCAACCTCATCAAGGACTCCAAGGCCATCGAGCGCCAGGGGAGTTGAGCCTGTGAATTATTATTTTGCAATATATCGATTTCAAACAAATTAAAACCTAAAAAAATTGGCGTTACTTTACTCCTCCGGATATAACCAAATTACTTTGATACTGTAGTGTCAACTTTGTCATGGCGTGGTTTCAATCTTTACACCAGCGACGACGGTACAACCAATCATTTTGTCAACATTTTTAGTCTTGCCCACGGTCAAACCAGGCGATGCAAATTAACATTTTTCAGCATTACGATATATCTAACAAAACGGAAGGACAGGATATTGACCATGATACAATGGCAATAATGCTTCATACTATTAGCAGGTAGTGAATATTTTAAAAGTGAATCTAACTCTTTACCACTCATCAAACAAATGTAACCCTGGTCACTGCTTTGAAGTTGCATCCGGTTGTGCGGGCATCCTGTTGCCAGTTTGGTACATAGTATCACATTATCTAGTTCAAATACAGGGTGTTAATAAAGTCCGATCCCATTTTTCCTGTAAAAAAGTGAAGGCTAGTATAAAAAAAACTACCCGTGATACTTACAAAAAATGTTCGACATATTTACCTTAGTATTTGGTCTTGTTACCATTTACTTTAACCATGCCCTCAACTCTTTGTTTAAGGCTCTGTGCTAATTTTTCCAATGTGCCTCTGGAAATCGAATTCCATACATCTTGAACTTTTTTTTACTAGCTCTTCCCTCGTCCGGGGTTGTGGCTCTTTGTATACATTTTCCTTAAGTATGGACCACTGGTTCTTCAGGGGATTCAAATCTGGGCCGTTAGCGGCCCACACCCCCTTGCTCCAGACCGTTGAAACTTGCGTCTTGATGAGACTCAAACTCGCTTTTGCTGTATGGGCTATAGCACCATCCTGCATGAAAACTATTTTTCTTTCATTCGGAAATATTTCCTTGTTCCCCATGCTATCGAAATAGATAGGTAATATTTTTTCCATATAATGCTTTGCATTGACTGATTGGCCTTTTGGTATGATATGTAGAGGGGTCACGCAACGTGCACAAAATCCACCCGCTACCATAACTTTAAGCCCGAATTTTGGGATCGCTCTTGATGGTACATCCGATTTGTTTTCTGTCCTGTAACGAACATTTTGTTGGTTCAATTTTGGATATAGTTCAATAATAGATTCGTCAGTCCAAAGGATGTGACTGCGCAATTCTTCACCAAGTCTTTTTTCACTCAAATGGGCACTTTTCTGAAGGAGTTCTTCAAATTTCAGACGGTCATCGATATATTTTTGTGACATGAGAGGTTTTTTTGGTTAGTTTGTAAGCTGTGTGACCCCACTTCGTAGTTTTCACAAATTTTTGCACGGTCACACAGTTAATTTGCTTCTTCTTCTCTTTATAGCGTTTTGAGTCATTTAACTCCCTTGCTCAATTACGTAATGAACTACCGGTTTTCTTGCAAAGTCTGTTTTTAATCATTCTTTTTGTGGTAGGTGACACCTTTCTTGGTCGCCCTGGTCGCTTTTTGTCGTGGACAAAATTTTTATTCTTCCATTTCCAAACAGTTCTGCGGCTGCAGCCCAATTTTTGCACAATTTCTGTAGGTTTAAGCCCCTGCTGATGCAATGTTTGTATCTCAACTCTAAGATGCTCATGACTTACACGTTTAGTTGTTCCTCCCATGGTAAAAATTTGAAATAAATAACTTCACTGGTTCAAAAGTTCCAGCTGAATTTGTAACAACCACGCTCCAAAAAATGCATGTGATCGGACTTTATTAACACCCTTTACATACTTACTTTTGTCTTTTTTATGTAGTTATCGTTCCCATAAAGTTGTCTGCTTAGCCCAAAATCCGACACCTTGGCAGTACATTTATCATCCAGCAAGACATTCCTCGTGGCCAGGTCGGAGTGCACAATCTTGAGCAAGAGAACGATATGAACAAAATTCTGAAATTATAAGAAAATCTTCATACCGATTTTGAAACCAAGAATTCCATCCCTTTGGCAACTTGGTACGACCAACGAATCAAATCTCCCTCTCGAATTTTGGCGTCGGACTTGTTTTTGTTGAGGTTCGTATAGCGACCATCCAATTTCTCAACTCCACTGGCTCCCCCTGGCCGTCGTTTTCGCAGGTAACTTTCCAGACATCCATTTTGGGCGTATTCAAGCAAAATGTAAACTTTGCCTAGAAAATTTATACGCTCTCTGTTAGTCTGGTGAAGTAGTGATTTATCGGTAATAAATTTTCTACCAATTGGCATTAATGTATTAAAGATGGTACAAATTCGTTAGGACTATTTATGGTAAAACTTTTTACGTTATATCTTACTTATCAGTACCATCTTGGAAGAGCCATATATGTTCAGTTCGGTAATGTTTTATTACCACATTATTTGCAGGGTAGGGAATGGAATGCACGTATTCCATGAAATAAACCACGAATTTGGATATGAATTATTACCAAGCAAGATATGCATAATTATGAAAAACAGTTGGTTACAATTTGTCTTTAAACTGTACTGATTCCAATAGTTCTTTACGGTGTATAATAAATATCGTTATAGAGCACTACGCTACGCTCGAAACTAACTTGCAACCATACTGCTTCTACGTTTGGTAGCAATTCGTTACCACGATATGTATTTTGAGAGTTTCAGCATTTTTAAAGACTTACGTTGCTGGATGGACTCGGTGCAGGCGCCGATTAAAGCGAGCAAATTTTCATGTTTTCCAATGTGCAGCATGATTTTGATTTCCAAAAGGAGAGCTTTGAATTGGAGGGCGTCTGCCGTGGTGAGCGGACATTTCACGGCGACTGGTTGTTGGCGAGATTTTATGAGGCCATAAAATACGACGGAAAAGTTTCCAGTGCCGATTGGATCTGCCTTGTCTGTAAAAGAAATAAGTAGACAATTTATAAAACATTGAGGTTCTTATTTCAGAGTCTCAACAGTGGAAAAAGTTGTTACCAGGTGGAGCTATTATATTTAATACATAGTAACAAGGGAACCTGTTTTAAGTAAGACCAGGATTGTTTAGCGAGTCATATACAAAATCAAGTCAAAAATTAGGAATCACATGGCGCTTATCATTCCGTAAAATGGGCCCTTCCAAGAAAAATATTGGTGGTCAAAATCCCCCCGATCGCCTTGGTTTTGGCCTCGTGGCCGGAACGGGAGAAAAATTTTACTAAAAAATTGAAATTTGCAGTCAATATATTTTTTTCAGAGGGGCCAGTCACCAGAATGATAAGCGCCATATGGTTCCTAATTTTTGGCTTGATTTTTTGATATAACTTGTTAAACAATCCTGGTGTAACTTGAAAAAAGGTCCCATTGTAAGACCACTTGCATTCAATATCCTCAATGCCGACTTCGTATTCTCGATCATACGGCAAGAAGGCGACCGTTTCGTTGGTCATGTTGGTATTTCTGGCAAGGAGTTCTGGTCGACCGAGGAAAAATTCATCGATTTCTTCTCTATCGAGACCTCGAAGGAGTTTCTGAAAAGTGAATTATAAGCTATATAAATACTAGTGTAGAAGCATGTCAATCGACGTGCAAAATAGGCCCGTCGATAAGCCCGTTACCCCAACATTAGTGAAGTTAACCTCTCCTGTTCTCTCTGCAGAGTGGAGAGAGAAAAGGAGAGGCTAACTTCTCAACTAAGCCACTGACCCAGCAGCGATACACTAGCCTGCTTTATATAGTTTAGATAATGAATTATTAAGCTTTGAGAAATATTAAGTGACATTAATGTAATATACATATTTTTGAAAAAATTGCAGATCAAAATTGGTCGATTAGTGAATTAATTATTTACATTTTACATTACATTTTATCTACATTTTACAAACGCTTACAGAAATCTTTCTTTGTCGAAGCCCAAAAATAGTCCCGCTTAACAATCCCGCAATTGCGAGTAGACCGATAACTATCCAAATTATCCAGATGTTGCTACTTCCAACTATAAGAAAGAATCCAAAATAAAATTAGTGAACGGTAGTAAAAATTGATAAAAAGTGTACATTTAAAAATCATTAATTCCACCTTGTTCCTTCCGCTCCGGAACTTCCTCTCCTTTCCGGAAAGTAACATAACCACAAATAAACCCAGAATCCGTCCTGATCGAATAGTTCGGAACGTTTCCCCTCTTAATCCAGCACGTCCCTCCGAGAACGTTGGACCACGCAAAATGTGTACATTCCTTATGAAGGGAACACTCATTCCCACAATTGTCCCGCTTCGTGAGAAAATTTTGTATATCATTTCCCACCAAGTCGCAGTTTTGGGCCCATCGGTACCTCACATCCCCGCCGTCCTCGACCCAATTCAGTTGTCGTGATCCCGGTCCAAATTCGTGTCTTTGGTCACCGCTCTGCAAAAGCAGGAAGCCACAAAAGATTGTGTTGACGATCCTTTCTGTAAGCGAAGGGTTGGGAACGGCTCCCCCCTTCAGCCAGCAAGTTCCCCCATCCCTCGAGCTAGACACGAAGTGGGTGCAGAGGTTGTTCTCGTGACACGACCGGATGCACAAGTCTCTATCTGCCCCGGTAGTTTTCAGACCGACCAAGTCGTTCCCAGGCATATCACAGTGGCTCGCCCACCTGTCGGTCCACCACATGTGGTCAATAATATGTTGGTCGGAATGAGACAAGTGTGCAAAAATATAGAGAAGAGCCGACCCAGGAATCGAACCCGGGACCTTTCGATATTCGGTCGAGCACCTTAACCACTGAGCTACTAGCGCTCTCCACATCTATGCTACTTTTTCCAACCAACATATGATAAATATTATCTCACACACCTGACCTTGATCCCGGTTTTGCCCACGGGGGAATCCGTCCAGGCAAAATCGTCCGCCAAATTGGGGTCCCGATTGGGAATAAACCCGCAGAAATATCCGGCATGCGTTTTGAGGACAGCGTTTTGGAGATTGACGGGGCCTTTTTTTAGCCAACATGTTCCGCCATTATAATCTGCCCAGGCGAAATGGGTGCAGGATGGGGCAACATGACATTCTCGACCGCAGAAGGATGCCGGGCTGGGAAAGGAGATGATATCATTCCCCGGCTGGTCGCAGGTGGGGGCCCATCGCCAGGTGGCATTCCCTTCTGTGGAGGTCGTCCAGTTGAAAAAGGCGAAATCCTTGGTCTCCTGGCAGCCGATGAGGGGCAGGGATGAAATTGCGAAAATTAGGAAGAGTATCATTGTTAGTGGGACTGCTAAGGAAGCTTAATTCGAGCACAATGTGCTGGTAACTTATGTAAATTTGGTGGTATATATACCACATTTTGTACGATTTTCCGTGTTTTGTGCAACTTATGTAAGTTTGGTGTTAATTTCCGTTTCACATTTGATGAGTTCATCACATGGATTATATTAGCCGAATGAGCAGAATTATTTTTTGAGGAAGAATGAATGGATTCTGAGCACATGATAAATATTTATTGTAAATTTGACATGAAATTATTGTATTATTTGTCACTCGTTATTTTTATTTTGGCGTTCAAATTATTCTATTTCGTATGATTTATACGCCAAAATAAAAATAACGAGTGATAAATAATAAACCGTAGTAACGTTAGAAGTAGCTCACCCTGTCATAATGATTTCCATATAACTTTCCACCAAAGGTACGGAATAAGGCGACAAAATAGTTTATAACTCTCATAGATTATTGCACCAATGGTGTAATATAAACGGAAAAATAAAAAAAACGAAAATAGTTTGCACTAGTAGTGGAACATTAGCAACCAATGGGATACATAATTTTGAAAACTTTGAAAAAATTGTATGGTTCCTTATCCCGACATTCTGCATCATTGGTGCGTATGGCATCCTTTTCCCAATTATCTATTATAAAATTTATATATTTTAGCGTCAATGGTGCAGAAAAATCGAACAAATAGAACAGATTTTTGGGGTGAAATAGATGGTCCAATTGTTACGCCTCATTGATTTTTGGGGGTAAATAAAGGGCCCAATTGTTACGCATCATTTTTAAGAACCAATTGCTCCGTACTAATGGTGCTACTTATTCCATAATTATAGTCCTATCTTGATGTACTTGCACAATTAATTCGCACCATTTACGCCACGGATAATTCGATACCAATGGTGCGCCGAACTTATCCAATAATGGTCAAGGGGATTTTTAATTAGCATCAATTGATGCAAAAAACTCGTTAACAAACGGACAGACAGACAGACAGACAGACGGACAGACGGACAAGGGGAATTCAATAGCTCTCATGCTACGCAGGGTGAGCTAATAAAATAATTCGGCTCATTCGGCTAATGTACTTCTTGATGAACTCACCAAATGTGAAACGGAGTTTATGTATACTACATTTTGTACGATTTTGGATGTTATGTATGTGATCTAACGGGAAGCGGAATTGCGGTTTTTGTCAAATAGGAAAACCACGGATGTGTTGATTTACATAAATGCTGTGTCAGACTGTATAAATATGTGCATGATGATGTCATCAACATTGAGTTGAGTTTCGCATATACACAAGTTAATAAACAGATGTTTGTTAATGTTTTGAACCATCGTCGCAAGAATCCAGGGGCAGAATACATAATACATATGATAGATCCTATTTCCATTTATGTAGATATGTATGTAGTCCCATGAAAGAGCAGAAAATTGGTCTCTTAATTAAACTTAATTTACTACAGGGGCATACATATATACACGCTAAATATTTTTTATGGTACAGATATTGTTACCAGCGGAGTTACAATGCAATGCTCGGTAATAATTTATCACCGTAGAGTTTTACATATATGTATACATATAAATACAGAGACTAAATCCTACTCAGCCAATGTAAATATCAACGCCCAGGTAATACAAATATTACCGATATTCCTGCGAAACCCTGGGGACAAATGTATTACCTATCCCCGCGGCAAAATTTATGTGGGGACATTGTCCCTTTGTCCCCACGGTTCCGTGGTCACTGTCGACCACTCATACAGACAAGATACTACGCGTTCGCTCTTAACCATGACATGATCAAATGTGACTTTTAATGAAATTTTGTTACATTTCGTGACTACAATTTTGAAAGAACTATTTTATGGATTTGCTTCTAAATATGTTAAAAACTCCGCAATAATTTTATTAATTAAAAATTTCTTGTTATTATCGTTAAGTGGTCCAAAATTTGGTTTATTTTTTATTTAATTTAACTAAATTAGAATTTTTTATTCTGCCTAAAAACAATTATTTACTCGACACCCGTATCGACCAGGAAGTTAAGGAGGTGTAATAGAAATAAATTTACATGTATGGTTGTTTAACCTAATAAGCATAAATACACATTTAATTTATATATAACTGAAGTCCAGTCGATAAACTTACAATTAGTCTTCAAGCTAAACTAATATGTGGAGAGTTTCTAAGTTCAAAATGAGATGAGATTACATATTACTTTTATATCACAATGGAAAATGAGGAGGATTATTATTTAACGATGATCGAAGCCGCGAGCTAAATACTAAATTAATCTTAATTCCGAACATTATTTTTTTGCTTCTGCATGTTACCACATTTGACACACCTTCACACTCACAACGGAAGTCTCCCAACGTATGCCCACAGATTTTAAGCAAAGTAGCGTCAATCGATCACAAACATAATTAGTATAAAATTTGCAGATGACACTATCTGCTAGCTGCAAGTTCAAGATATTTGCATAAAATGAGGGCTAAACGGGCAAACATCTCCGCCAAACCTGCGCACTGGCAGATAGTGTAATATGCAAATTTAACACTAATTATGCTTGTGATCGATTGACGCTAATTTGGTCTAAATCTGTGAGCATAGGTTGGCACACCTCCATTGTGAGGTGCCGAGCAATAAGTTAGATTAGTTAAAGTAATTGTACTAAAAGAATTATTCAAATAGCACGAACTTTCTTACGGTGCAGGTGATGCATGATAAAATGACTCTCGGCAAAAAAATTATGCTGGACTGAACAATAGAATATGTAACTTTAATTACTTACTTACATCATTCGTTATTGTATGTTTAAGGTTACACCTGTATTTGCGCTTATTTGTAATTATAAAATATTAAAACGTGCAGGATGCAGAATCTGCATTCGATTCTACATATTTCATTCCATTCCATTGCTGAACTCACCCCATTGTTACTAGGAGTGTGGTGATAGTGACGAAATGAAATTCTTTGCAAGTCAGTTTGTATTAATTTTACTTACCACTTTCATAAGAAGTTCGGTTGAGGTAAGTTGTTCCTCATTGTAAATTAATTTTACACGATATCCACAACCGATTTGGGAGTTATCATATCCACGGTTCGGAAAAACCCGGGGTTTTTCTCGAAAAACCCAACCCCGAGGGTTTTTCCGGGGTTTTTGCGGGTTTACATTTGTGTGGACATGTAATCGTTTCATGAATATTGGAACAAACCTCGTGCCATGGCGCTTGTATAATTTCCCTTCTCATTTGCGCTTATTAGGTATGTGGAAAAGGGGAATTAAAACTTGGAACTAGTCGAAACCAAGGAGTGTGGGTTCCCTGGGCGGCGAAAATATATAGATTGGATGGTCACACGTGTTCCGCCATAATTGTTTCCCGATCGCTATTACTGGCGGGTGAGTCATATTAACTGTCATAATTGCGGAAGGACCAGAAAGGTTGTGATTAAAATTTTAGAATGTTTTGCCCCCAAATCCATACACATTTGCATGGACATATGTACATTGAAACTTTTCGTGCAAATGTAGAAACAACCTGCTTCTCGTCTCTCAACTTTACTTTGGAGATACATCCATATTCGTCTTACCGAGTGACGGTGGGTGATACAGAATGGAAATCCGGGTCGGATAATTTGGATCAAGTGTTTAACGTAAGGTTATACCCTTCATTCGCTCATAACTTTAGCAGAAATTGAGAATTATTAGAAACTACGCTACTGTGAGTCTCAAATTCCCTCATATCATGTAACTGGGGAACTCTAAGACTGATACTGCAGTAGTTTCTCACAATTCTCAATTTTTGTAATAGTTCAACTATGCGCGAATGGAGAGTATGCATTTATTTAGTGGAAAACCCAGTTTCGGTTAGGTTTTAATTTTCTTGTCATCGACACTATTGTCACCGTCGGAGGTAGAGGGGTCGCCCCGGGAAGTGTTGATGGGATTGTAATTAGTAGCGGGGTAGAACGAAATAATTTTAGAGATCTGATTTTTTCGTATAATATTGTAAATATATCTAGCTCCGGTCCCAAAAATTTCAGAAGTTTTCCTTGAAAGAAAAATTTCCTACACTATTTTAAAGCGAGGAAGTCGGGAAACGAATTTTTTGTAAGTACAAAAATCTGAGCGACGAAGACTCGAAGAAGGTTTGACTAAATTTGAATGGAAAGAGGTGTGGCCGTAAAAAAATTAAGACTTACATAAAAACGTATGGAGAATCCGAAAATGTCTACCTCAAATACGCACTATGAGAAAAAACCTTCATAATGACCCTTGAAAGTTAAAAACGATCGAATTTATGTTCGGAAAATGTTGCACCACGTCCATGCCTGATGCGGCCAAAAGGTCAAAGATAAATACAAACTACTTTGATCATGTTAAGGCCCACAAGTTATGAGTCAAAGCGTATGCAAGAAAATCTGCATCAAAACATACAGAAGATCGAGAAAAAATGGTAAACGAAAGACATCCTAAGTTTTACAACAAAATCTCACCAAAAAAATTGGTCACCGACGACGAGTCCTACGTTCTTAAAAACGTGCCAGAAACTCCGGGAATGGAATTTTTTCATGGCAAATGTATCTCTCAAGTGAAAACCGAAGAGAAATTAAAATGTTGTTAAAAATTTCTCACGAAATTTCCGATTTGGCTGCCGTCAAAATGCATGGTGATCAAATGGAAGTTTGATTTTTTTAAATGAAAACCCTCCAAATGCCCTTATCTTCGTCCCATTGAAACATTTTGGACATTATTTAAGAAGTAATACTCCCTGCTCTGTGAAACAGTCGATATTTTAAGAAAATTGCGGTTCCAGTAGGAAAAAACTAACAATGAACTTGCAAAGTCTTCCGGAAAAGTATTATTGGCGGACGCAACTAAAATGACTAAATACGAAGTGGATAATGGATTAAAGTCTACTTTGTTCGCGGAAACATAACATTAGATGTATTTAGCATATTATATCAAAATTTGAGATTTGTAGAATCATTTTTTGACCATCTTGAGGTCAAAATTCCCCATCAACACTTCCCGGGGCGACCCCTCTATTATACGGCTGTACGATGTAGTTAATAATTTATCACCAACACGTTGCCGGTCCCAATTATCAACGCTCGGGTAACAAAAACGTTAGCGAAACTGCACAATTGTCACTATCCATTGATAAATTATCACCAACCCCTCCAGAGCCGTACCGTGAAATTGTCAGGCCTGGTATGAGCTTCGGTGCCGGGCCCTTTTATAATTTCAATATATTCGATATTATGCAATCGTTTTGGTTCCAGAATACAGAATATTCTGGAACGAAGTAGATAATATTCTACGAGTATTAAGAGTACACTATTTTCCCAGTTCCGTGGGAAAATAGATAGTGACAATTTACTTACTTGCGCTTTTAACTCAGCCATATTTTTTAAAATATCGCCGGGACGGAGAAAATTATATACGTATAAGTTGCATAAATATGCGAATATGATACTTTTCGCTTACTTCGCAACGTTTCCCAAACCCTTTTCGATTGATTACTTTTCTATCCGTTTTAAAAGTTTAAAAAATTCCCAGACTCATTTGGAATTGGCGATAATGCCGGTCCGAAAACTCAATTCTATTTAATGCTTAGAACACGTATTCTTGATTTCTTGAAAGGTACACATTCAAAAACATACAGTATTTTGAAAAGTCAACGTTTTAGCTGAAAATAGCTTTTAAAATTGAACCAAGCGGTAAGAAAAAAATATACAATCGTAAACATTTGGGCCTGAAGCAGTTAGCTTATAGTCTGACTCACAATGCGATGACGCCAGCGGTCTCTCCGATTTTGACGAAAACACAATAATTACACAACCTGAGACACATAATTAAACACGTGTTTCAGCATTTCTATAATGCTCAGCTTAAACTCAATTATGACGGAATCCATGAGCGAGAATTTCAGTATTTTTACCGCTTACGAACTCTATCATAGTTCCGTTTAAAGTTAAAATGCGTGGACCTGAATTGATTTCTTTGGATTTTGATCTAACCAATTTTAAATAAGTTGCTCACACACTAAAATAACTGAACCCGTAATTTTCGTTTTCCGGTATGTTCGTTTTTCGGTTGTGACAAGTTTTTAGTACATTTTCAGCCAAATCAGGATTTTTGAGAAAGCTGTTAATTTTGAATTTTTAACGCTATTTTAAAAATCAAAGAACGTGTTTGCTCAAAATTACTTCCATAAAATTATAAGAACTGTTTTTCGAAGAACTTTTAACCTTCGAAATTTGTATGAAAATATGCTCCAGATCACAAAATTCGAAAAAATTTAAAGTTTTTGAAATTGAGAATTGCGTTAAACTCAATGTCATGCTTTGCAAAAAATGTTCTTTCATTTTTGCAATAGGGCCCAAATTTAAAAATTTACATAACTTTGAAAAATCCAAATTTGGCTCAAAATGACTTCAAAAATTTTCTCACAGGCAGAAACGGGGTATGCACAAAACTACGTCCTCTTATTTCCTTGTGTATGCAATCTAAATTGGTCAGGTCAAAATTGGAGGAAACCAATCTATGCCCACGCATTTTAAGCTTAAACGAAATTATGTATGATGGTATTCGTAAGCGAGAATCTTTATTTTTCTCCCTCGCAAGAAAATGTCACGGTCAAAATGGAAGTTCTCGCTCACGGATTCCGTTATAATTTCCTTTAAGCTGAGCATTATGAAAAATCCTGAAACACGTATTCTATTATATGTCTAAGGTGGTTGCATAACTATCGAGGCAAATTTTGGTGTCAGGTAATTTACATATTTCAAAATTGTAACGAAACATTCGTAGGCGTGATGTGATCCTCTCCGATTTTTACCCCGTAAATTTTAAAATTCCTCAAGCACAGAAATAAGTCGATCCACACTTTTAGGTTTTCTTTAAGTGTGCTAATTTCCCTTTTAACTGAATTTCTAAATTGCGTTTCAGCTAAAATCAGGATTTTTCATATTATTTGAAATTCGAAAGTCAAACTATTAAAATTAAAGGTGACACAGTATGTTTGCTCTAAATTCATACAAGCTGGTGGACTACTGCCTACAAAAATTTTTTGTTTTTATTGATCAGAGTATAAGCTGTGTTCGCAGAGTTGGTACGAAAATAATCACAAAGTATCGCAAAAAGCTGACTACGCAAGAGTCGCACAAGATCGGTCCCTAACTTAAAGAAACGCAGAAAATCGCAGAAAAGGTCCGTAAGAATGGGAGAGAGAGAGAACGGACTACAAATAGTACACTTCCTCCAGTTCCTTTCCTGGAGGAAGTGTACCTAGAATCGAGGCAACGTTCCCACGTTGCGCGGCGAGCGAAACCCGCTGGCGTAAAAAGTTAACGGCGTTGGACTGTCCAGTTGCGGCGGCGATCCTCTGGCCAACTTGGAGGATGAAGGCCAGTCCCTCTTGGCCCCATACTCCCGTGGTCTCCATGGCAACGGGGACAAAAATGTATCGATCCATGAGGAAAGCGTACCTCTTCCTCTTGCGGTCCTCTGCCTTGCTGGCGGCAGCGCCCTGATGGCGCACGGTGTCTGGGAGGTAGCTGGGGGCGAATGTGTCCGCGCAGGTGAAGTCCCAGACAAGGGACCTCCCCCGCGACCAAGGGACAAGTGTCATCCCGTCGGGACGCTTGCCGTCCGTAGTGGAGCACCCCGCGGGCTCCTGATGCAGGGTACTTCGGCAGACCGGAGGGCTCTTGCGATGACGTCGTTGGCGGCCTCATGGCGGGACCAACGACCCTTACTTCGGCGGCAGGAGAGGCCGTGGTAGCCTCTGGAGGTGACCTGCGCCCCGCACGGGCACTTGTGGGGCTCGCAGATATCGCAGCCTAGGCGGAGGGCGATTGCAACCCGAAAGGTCTCGTTGGGGAGAAGGGTGCCCAGTTGTGGAGAGGGGAGGGCGTTGAGCCACACCCCGGCGTATTTGTCACGGAGGGAACGTAGACGGGCAGTATCCTCCGGGATCACTGCCAATTCGGAGAGTTTGGACAAAGTGTTGTCCAGTATGGGGCGTTCCCACGCCGATTGAATCCCTCTGACGGTTTCGAGTGGAAGGTCGGTGAGGTCAAGGTCGGTCCACCGCTGCACACCCTCTGCCATGGCGATGTCGGTGCCATGGAGGTGGTCCGGAAGGAGACGTTCTACATGGGGCAGGACGCTGTGGACCGACGCTAAAAAGCACGGTATCGCCACATCCACAGCGTGCCTGAGCCCCAGGCCGCCTTCCTTCACGGGTAGGGAGGACTGCATCCAAGCAGCCTCCGAGAGAGTGCAGTTGAGGATCCCTTCCAGGGCGTCCTTCAGAGTAGCGTCGTAGTGGGCGAGGGCGTCCAACTTTCTCCACGACGGTGCGCAGCGGAGAAAGTAAATCAGCCGGGGGATGGAGATGGACGCCCTCAGGAGGAAAAAGGCCGAATGAGCCGAGAGATCGAGGAGTCGTTGGGAGAAAGTGGCCAATTGCTGCGTCTTCGTGGCCAGAACCACCCCCAGGGCTTCGTTAGTTAAGGGGGCGCCCAGCAGCATCGCAGAATCAGGGGACATAAGCTGAATCCCGGGGGCAACTTGTTGGAATTGGAGCAGGATGTCGATGGCGGCCTCCCGCTCCGCCCCCAGAATCCCGACTTCACATTTGTCGTGGTTGAGGTGAAGGCCCACCTCACCACTCATCCTAGCAATGGTTGCCAGGGCCGCCAAAGCCTTCTCGGGAGAGTCCCCAATGGCCCCATCGTCGAGGTACCATAAGTTTAGTTTCGTTTCCATGGCTTCGACGATGGGGTGGATTACGAGGGAGAAGAGGGCGGGGCCTAAGGGGTCGCCCTGATGGCACCCAAGGAGGGAAGGGATGGGGATGGTCCCGTAGAAAAGCGACGAGGGGCTTTCGTAGCACTGCGCCACAAAAGGAAAGATGGAGGGAAAGTGGTCGCGGACGGCGTGGAGTAGCGTGTCCCGCCGAATTTCATTGAAGGCGTTCCTGAAGTCGATTTTCAGGAACGCTTTTGGGGAGGTGTGGTCGTGGCCGTAAAAAATTCGGGCTGCGTGGGCGCCAATCTCCGCCCCGCCTTTGATGCCCACCCCCAATTGGTGGGGGGAAAAAGGCTTGATTAACTGAGGGGTAATCCTTCCCACAATGATCTTCGCGGCAAGGCGCCGCCACGTATTACCCACAGCGATGGGTCGAATCCCGCCCGACTTCTTCTTCAGGGCAGTGAGGGAAGCTCCGTAAAAGAGGGGGCAAAAAGTTGAGGGGACACCACCGTTGAGGACCTTGTTGAGGAAGGTCCGCATCGCTTCGGCGAGTTGGTCGCCCCCTTCTCCTTGACTGCACCCCAGGAGATCCTTCAAGATCTGGGGCCTCATTCCGTCCAGTCCCCCCGCGGACCCTGGCGGAAAAGAGGAAATTGCCCGAAGCAACTCTTCGTCTAAAACAGGGGCAATGACAGGATCCTCAAGTGGTGGAGGAAAATCGACTGGTTGTGGGTGGGAGGGATGTTTTGTGAGAAGGGCGGCGAGGGTCTCATCGTCGGACGGAGCGATGGTGTCATCTGAGCATGCGAGGCGAATTGCTCCCCGAATGTCACCATCGGCTAACTTGGCCTCCACCTTTTTCGCCGTCATGTCGAGTGGGGGTTTTTTAGAGGGTGGGCGTGGTGGGAGGGGCCGAGGGATGGAGAAGCCGCCCACCCACCCCGCGGTATGATCCTTGACCCAGGTTGTCAAATTCTTGAATTCATACAAGCATAATTACACATGAAAAACAAATAAATCTAGCAGTTTCATGTTAGATGTAAGAAAATTTATTTGCGTGGAATATTTTTTTGTAAAATCGTCAATACCCAAAAAAGTCCATTATATCTAGTGAAAAGCTAGTGACCTGGCCCGGGCCCTTGCGGGCCCCGGGCCTGGTATTTGGTACCACCATATATCACGGTTGGTACGGTACTGAACCCGACCATATAGTATCTCCGGCGGTGAAAAAAATTTCCAAAATTTATTGAGATTGTAAATCCGACACTGCGTCGATTTGTTGAAATTTTTGATGCCATACAAATACCATATATTGTTGAGAATTACGGTGATAAATATCTACTTTGAGTATTAAAAACGTTTGGTTTCAAAATTTTATTAATTAATCCACTCCAATGATTTATACATATTAACTTACTAAAAAAATAAATTTATATTCTCAATTTTGTGTTAAAGATTACTCACATTGCCCACCGAACTGGTTACGCTATAGAATTTAATCAAGAATATACCAACGTATACACCGTTGATCAGTGGCGTTATCGAAACAACGCCCAAGTACTGGTCCATCTCGAAAGACCAATCGACATTTCTGATAAAGTTCACCCTGTCTGTCTTCCCACCAAAGCTGCACCCTTTAACCAAGCTGAGATATTCAACGGAACGAAGAAATTTTTTTTGTTGACTGGGTGGCAAAAGGATTTCATGTATCTAGTCTACAAAAATTTTAGTGTGTTACTCAAACAACATTGTAAAGATAGATGGAAGTCGGATTCAATTTTCGGCTACTGTACTCGATTTTGTGGGGAAATGGACGCAGGTATGTATCCAGAGTATTTGACACAGTGTTTCTTGTGTCGGGTGTTTGTAATGTTTTACATTGGCGTGCCAATTAAACCACCCAAGGAAAATATGTTTTGTTCCAAAGAAAATTAATATTTTGTTCCAATTATAGATCTTGCAATTAATTTTTTTTTATTCCAAGATTTTTAGAATAACTTCCAAACAAATAATAAAAATCCCAAAGCCTAAAATACAAGATATAAAGTATATATCGTAGCTAATTTAAATTAAATTTCAGGTGAATATTAGTCAAATTAAAAATTATTAATTTTCTTTGGAACAAAACATTATTTTCTTGGGCACAATAAATTTACATTGTACCATCTAACAAGGGACACTCATGACCTGTCGTTTGAGTCCAGGGTACCCACCATGTTTTTTAGAATCTGCTAGGACCCCAGATGAAAGATTCATTCATATTTCCGCGCCAAGCTTATACTTAAAAATCTGCATTATCGACCAACTCATATACCTCAATAACTCGTTTATTCGCGGTTTCTGTCGGATTTTCAAAATTTTGTGCTGAAAATGTTTTTAAATTTTTGAGATATTTTTACGCTTTTCCGACGAACTCCAAACAAATTGCGAAATTTTGCAAGAAATTGAAACACTCAATTTTTTTGAAAAATTTTATTACATACATACGAAAGTTAAACTCCTTGTAATGATTGTAGTCAAACATTATGAAAATCCGTTCAGGATTGCAAACATTATGGGGGTTTTAAAATCAAAAACTATCAAATTTGGCGAAATTGACGCCACGGATACATAGGAGTTCGTCGAAAAAATCGTAAAAAATATCTCAAAAACTTGAAAATCTTGCTTTTTGATTTTGTCCCTAAAATTTTGAAATTTGTGAGCATTTTAAGCACAAAATTTTGGAAATCGGACGGAAACGGCGAAAATTATGGAGGTATGAAGTTGGTCGTAAATGCAGAAAGCTTGGCGTCACGCCACGTCCCCAAATATGAGTTTTACGCGGACATATGAATGAATCCTTCATTTGGGGTCCTAGCAGAGATCCGTGGTTATTGTTTTTTTGTGGGATTAAGGATTAAGGATTAATGTTATTCCGGGATTACATAGATTACTCCAGGACTAATTAAATAATTTAATTTGCTGGGATTAAGGATTAATTGAAAGTGCTTTTAATTTCTGGATTAAAGATTAAGGATTAATTAATCCTGATTAATCCTTGATTAATATAATATATATTTTGCTATGTTGAATTATTGACACAGCGATATACATACATACATATGTCAAATGCACACAATGCAATGTATTTGTGCAATGTGTTAGGTTAAGTACGTAATAAAATTTGATGTTGGCTTTATATTCACAATTATGGCAGTTTTGGTGAACATGCTATGCCCTTAGCCGTTACAGAGCCGAAACACTTATCAAATTCTTCGACATCAAAAAATATGCAAGTCTTTCAGTTCAGTTAGGTTACTGTTCGCCATGATTAACTATTGAATCAATATTTTTATGGAAGCAACAATTTAAAGTTAAAAATATAATACAATTTAATTTCAGGAAAGTAGAAAGAATGGAAAAATATAGCACGGTTGAGAATGCCCGTTACCTCGCTCCATTTGTGATTAATCTCTCATAAGAATTAATCTAAATCATGATTAAGGATTAATAATTTGAGCACGCTTCATCGGGATTAAGCGTTAAGGATTAATAGAGTGAAAATGTTTCGTCGGGATTAAGGATTAATTTCACATATTTTTTATTGGGATTCAGCGTTGAGGATTATTAATACTTAATCCCAATCCTTAATCCGTTAATCACGATTATTTAATCACGGATCTCTGGGTCCTAGTAGATTAAAAAAAACATAGTGAGTACCTCAGACTCAAACGACAGGTCGTTAGTGTCCCTTGTAAGTATTATGTTATAGATGGCGCATAAAAAACACCATGTTTTTGGGCAACTTAAAAAACACACTTGTTTTAGGAACTCTTTTTAATATATTGCGTAGATAACAAATTAGAACACTGTATCTGGCACGATGTTGGCGCGTTTAGTTACATTAACGGGTCTTACTATCTTCTTGGTCAAGTAACGAGCTACGTCCTTCCCGGAAATTCAACAGTACTCCCGGGAAAATCAATTATTAACCCTGCAGAACCAACTACCGGAGTGTGTCCGGTTGGTACGATCTACTATTTTTGGTTATTGACAGACCTTCTCTTGGCTTTTATCAGGGAAAATGAGAGGTGCTAAAGAGTATACACTCAAAGAGAAATTTGTCACATCAACACCGCCGGTGTCAATGTATGATTTAACCGCCTTGGTTACAATTGTGATTCCGAGTAGTAATGACATTTTTCCGTCCAGTCATAACATTATAACCAGTCTGGCTAAATATGTTCTTAAAAACCCTGAAATATTTATGTAAAATGATTGATCATATAGCCAAAATATGTATGAAAAACATTCTTTTAATTCTTTTTAAATTGTTTCAAATTTAATTCATTTCACTGCAAAAATGCCAAAAAAGCTTTTACATTGCGAAGTGACAAACTAACAACATTTTCACATGCTCTGGTTTCATATTCCTACGATGATCTGAATTATGTATGTATTGTGAATTTTTGAGGATTTTCTAAAACAATATATAGTTTTGGTAAAATCGCTGAAATATATGTATGTGACAAAATATTTATGTATACCAAAAAATATATATTTTTGACAAAATCGCCAAAATATTTAAAAACATATTTATGTGTATCAAAAAATGCACATTTTTTAAAAAATCGCCGAAATTTATGACAACATATTTATATGTATCAAAACCTCGAAATATGTAAAACATATGAAAATATTTTTTCGACCTTGTGACCTATCAGTATGCCTGACCACAAGCAAGATCCCAAATCGGGCTGTTAAAAAGTTTAAAATACATACATAACCGGACTCTGATTATAACTATTGCTGAAAAATTAGTTCTCTGGGGCGGAAAATTTCCCACTCTCGTATACTTCATAATGTAAATGAGGCCAAACTACGTCTTTCTCCGTCCCGCAGAGATATTAGCTCTGCAATACCAGTATGAAAATCATCATAACTCGGATTCAACATTTTAACCAAGGCGGTTATGTAAGTCATATGTTGACACCGGCGGTGTTGATTTGACAACTTTTTGTTTTGAGTATAGATAGAGCTGCATAATTATTTGGTGTTTTGTACTATAACGACATAAATACTTTTACCAGATGCGGGCCTACCAGTTTCGCCTGCGACGGAGGATTCCTTCCACCGCAAGGAAAGTGCTTGCCGCTTCATAAAGTTTGCGACAGGAGAAATGATTGCAATGATGATACTGATGAATCAACTGAGTTTTGCTCACGACTGCATAAATGCAATGAAGGAGAGTTTTACTGCTATGGGGGTGGGAGTCTCAAATGTGTCGCGACTGACAAGCTGGATGATGGAATTCAGGATTGTACCAGTGGCGAGGACGAGATGGCGCCAAATTATTGGGAAATATTGTACGTTGCGGTTACAACCGTCAGCATTGTTTCAGTCATTTCGGTTGGATATTTGGTGTACAAAGGAGTATCGAAAATGTTCCTGGTAATCCCTCCAGGTAATTAATTTTAAAATGATGAAGGTACAGATTCTGAAGTTATTTATTCCTACTATACACATTCGTCGAGTTGTTTAAGTACAAAAAGGAAAAATTATTGTTCTCAGAATTCAATCGTAGATTTCGGGCCGTTTAAGATGGCCTTATAGAATCGTCAAAATGGGGAAAATGTCTGTCTGTCTTGTCTAGGAATTATAAATGCCCAAGTTTTTTTCCTAAACGGTTAAAAGCCCTATTTGCTAAAATTAACTATTCTTGAAACTTAATAGTCTCATTTCGTTGATTGAAACCAAGAAAAGTATTATTTTTTAGCCCGAGTCAGGGCTTATGGAACCGTCATGTCCGTCCGTCTGTCTGTCTGTCCGTCTGTCTGTCAGGCACGATAGAGCCAAAACGGCTGAACCGATTAACTTGAAATTTTTACCAC